ATTACCTGGATACCCTAGTTAATTTATTCACTAAAGGACTAAATAAAACATTTGCAGACGAAACAACCACAACACCCGTTTTCATGTGTACAACGGAATTCCCGCAGTACATACTGCAAGCTAGTGAGATTTATCAATACACTACCGTTAGGTAGAGTTTTAGCGGTGTAAAACAAAAAACGTTGAAATGAGTAGGAATTTGTAACCGTTGTGCATTAAAACATATAACTTTCTGATCAATTTTCTTTAAATTAATTCTATTTTGAATAAGCTTTGCAGGTATGTAAGTTTTTCCAAGAAATGTTGAGTTTAAATAAATATTTGAAGCCGTCAAAGTTAGCGACGAGATTCTGGTCGCTGGCACATACACAAAGAAGGAAAACTTTCCGCATTGTTTTGAATCGTAAGTGGGTTGTGCGCGAAGGGCGACCATCTTATATATAAAAAAAGCCCTAAAGCGCACAATTTGTTGGGCTAGGGATGAAGTGTCTTGCTACCATGATTTATAAAATTTATTTCTGCTTACCACTCTGCAAATAAGATCCAAGCAATTCAAACGCCTCCTCCTGGTCACTTGTTAACGTATTCTGACGTGTTCTAGACTTCAACGTTGTTTGTATTGTTCCTCTAAATACAAACGCTTCTGCCACACCACTCGGACCTGACGAAACATCAACAGTGGCGTCAGAAAATGACCACGGACCAGATGCATTACATCCGTCTACTTTAAGCTGCATAAGAGTTCTTAGAAACGGATGAGCTTGAGGAAAAGAAGATCCGGAAAATAGATCCGTATAAACTTTTTTTACAAACTCCATATTCTGTAGCAGGTACTTCTCCATCCGGGGTTCTCCGATCGTTAAATCTCTAGGTACAAGGACACTAAATCTGTAAGTTTATTTTCTTCCTCGGTCCGCCTATCAGTATGTTTAAAAAATATAGTAGAACTCTGTTAAATTGAACAAAATCTTTAAAAACTTTATATATAGTGGCCATAACGACAAATAGCCATATGTAAATTTGTGAATGGTTGTCGAGGAAGACTTATTATAATTCGTATTGCTTATTATAGCCCATTGAAAATAAAATTGGCTACATTAACGTTTTGGACTATATATATTATAAGTAATGATATTTCATATCAATATATTCTTTAGGTTTAAATGTCTGCAAAAATCATAGTATGGTTATGTGTAAAAACTGAGGTTACTGTATATTGTCTATTGCAGGTAGCCACGTATGGCCTCATGAAAATTCTTAAATGGTTAATGGCCGAGTCCAGTATAAAGGGGTACACACGCCGTTTGGAAAATACAATGAACCAGATATTTACTCCCTTAGGAAGAGTATGTAGCGTCTCCTAAAAAGGCACAAATGGCCCCATGAAAATTTCTAAAAGGTTGCAACAATGAACTGTGCATTAATTGTTTTATTCCTTAGCCAATTAATTATGGGCCCGTGTAAAAACTTAAAATGCCGACAATAATAGACTGTCTATTCGCTCGTGTACAGCCACGAGTGGCCCAATGTAAAAAGAGAAATGACTTAAAGGCTGAATATTGTCTCTTGCAGGTAGTCACATATGGCCCCATGAAATATTCAATTTCTAAACGGTTGCAGCAATGAACTTTGCATTGTTTATATTAGTTAGCCACGTATGGCTCCGTGTAAAAAAAAATGAATGTCGGCAGTTATAGACTGTCTGTTCGATTGTGTGTATGGTCCCATGTCAAAGGTAAAATGACTTTATTTATAACTATAGGCTGTAAATTGCCTCTGGCAGGCAGTCACATATGGCCCCGTGAAATATTCTAAACGGTTGCAGCAATGAACTATGCATTATTTATAAATATCATTTAGCCACCTATGGCCCCGTGTATCAAACTAAAATATTGGCATTAATAGACTATCTAACCGCTTGTGGATAGCCTCATATGGCCCATATGTAAAAAGTGAAATTATCTCTTGCAGGTCGCCACGTATGGCCCTATGAAATATTCGATCTAAACGGTTGCATCAATGGACTGTACATTGTTTCTATTACTTAGCCACGTACGTATGGCCCCGTGTAAAAACTTAAACGTTGGCAGTAATAGACTGTCTATTCGCCTGTGAATAGCCAAATATGGTCCCATGTCAAAAGTGATATGACTAGTTATAGACTGTAAATTATCTCTGGCAGGCAGCCACATATGGACCCATGAAATATTCTAAACGATTGCAGCAATGAACTATGCATAATTTCTAATACTTAGCCACATATGGCCCCGTGTAAAAACATATATGTTGACAGTAATAGACTATCAATTCGCTTGTGAATAGCCACGTATGGTCCAGTGTAAAAAGTGAATGACTTTAGTTAAAGACTGTTAATTGCCTCTGGCAAGCAGCCACATATGTCCCCATGAAATATTCTAAACGGTTGCAGCAATGAACTATGCATTGTTTCTATAACTTATATACTCACTTATGGTCCCGTTTAAAAACTTAAATGTTGGCAGTATATATAGGCTATCAATTCGCTTGTTGATAGCCTCATATGGCCCAATGTAAAAAGTGAAATGACTTTAGTTATAGGCTGTAATTTGCCTCTGGCAGGCAGCCACATATGGCCCCATAAAATATTCCAAACGATTACAGTAATGAACTATGCATCACTTCTATTATTTAGCCACGAATGGCCCCGTGTAAAAACTTAAATGTTGGCAGTAATAGACTATCTATTCGCTTGTTGATAGCCACGTATGGCCCCATATAAAAATGAAGTGACTTTAGATGTAGGCTGGATATTGTCTCTTGCAGTTAGCCACGTATGGTCCCATGAAATATTCTTAACGGTTGCAGCAATCATTATGGCCTTTGCATTGTTTCTATAAGTTAGCCACATGTGGCCCACAACAAATTCTAAACGATTGCATCAATGCAATGTGCATTGTTTCGATTACTAAGCTTCGTATGGCACTGTGTAAAAAATGTTGGCATTAATATATAATGTTGGCAATATGTTGGCTATTCGCTTGTGATTAGCCTCGTATTGCCCCATGTTAAAAGTGAAATGACTTAAGTTATAGGATGAAACTGGTCTCTGGCAGGCAGCCATAGATTGCCCCATGAAATATTTTTCTAAACGTTAAATTCACAATTTGAAGCGTCAGAATGAAAAAATCTAAAGTTCAGCATTTAAAAAAAAATAAAGATCTAGATATTGAAATAAGACGTGGAACGTATGTGCTACCGATTCATTTCCGACGGTTTTTATGTTTGTACTATCCTTAGTTTTCTTTAAGTTGTTAGGCTGCCAGGCTGCTAACTCCACACATTGCGAAGCGTCAGAATGAAAAAAAAAGATATGCTAAAATAAAGTTCAACATCATAAAAAATAAATATCACGATATTGAACAGAGGCTAAGGAAGTGCTACTGATCAATGCATTTCCAACCGTTTCCATGTTTGTTCTATTCTTAGTTTTCTTAAGGTTGCCAGGCTGTTAGGCTGCCAACTTCAGGCTGCTAGGCTGCCAACTTCACGAACATCATTTTCTTATATCAATGAAATAGTATTTCAGCTTTGTTCAGGAATACAAACAATGTTGAATTTAAGCTTTTCTGGATTTTATTATGTTGCTTTTCTAATTTTTATTTCTTGCTAGTTAAAATGAAAAATCAACACTGATTGCATTTACTTACAATTAAGCAAAGAATACACAATTGTAGGATACTAATTCATCGCGCACCTGCTGAATGCTTCCACTCGGACCTTCTTTGCAGAAAATCCGTCGACTCGAAGTTAAAATACAATTTAATTATTAGAAATAGTAAGAATATTAAAAAAAATAATGTGGCGGACTAGAGAATGGCTATAGTCCTTGAGATACTTGAATTTTTTTTAAAGATTTATTGCCTGGTTTAGGGCTGAAAACGTGTTTTTTCTGGATGCACCCACTCGGACTTTTCCCACAACCTATAAGAAATAAGGTTGAACACCTTTTTGGAAATTATTTTAACGTAGATCTTTAATATTTCATAAAAATTAACATTTACATGTTTGACTTTTCAGCACTAAGTTATAAAAATAGAAATTGGCAGCGTTGGGAATTGAACCCACTCCGGCGCCTTATACCGCTCAGCCACGCTACCAGTTAATCAAAATATGAATCCAATTAAGTTTCACGAAAATTCATGGCAGCATGTATCCCTAGTTTCCCAATAAATCTTAGAGGCATGTCTATGATTTCCGCAAGCCAACGCCATGTTTTCTTTCATGTTAGATATAAACTCGACTTCAGTCCAATGTGTCAGTTTGTGGTAATATAATGTACATAAATTAAAGATGTAATTGTCAAAAGGCCGGTTAGCCTCCCAACCCCACTGGTTAATCTTTTTGTTGACTTTTCCATCCATGTGTTAACTGGAATATGATAATTAAGTTTAATATGCATAATGCATGTGTCAATTAAGAGCTTCGTTTATGATAAAATTGTTCACGCATATTGGCACTTGATGGGAATACAATCATTCATATTTATTAGTAAACGTTTTATCTCCAGAATACAACTGAATTATTAAAAGATAATGTTGTCTGCGGTGGGACTCAAACCCAGGCCTCCGAAGAGCTTGGGGCCTAAAACCAGCACATTAGACCGCTCGGCGCCGCTATCTGGTAATTATTGGAAGTTTTAAATCCAATAAAGGTTCGCGAAAATTCATGACAACATGTATCAAAAAGTGATATCTATTCCTCCAATAAATCTTAGAGGCATGTGTATGATGACATAACAAAATAGAGGTCTACAACATATACCAAACATTTAAGCTGTTTCTCAAATAATATATGTGCAAACTGAATAAAACACCAGAGCGATGCCAATTTGATCCATTCCATGGCAAAGATTTAAACCAACTTGCATTCTTTATATGCAAAAGACGATATTTAGGTTGTCCTATAGGAATCTTTAAAATTTTAAGTGATACGTGGCGGGGTAAACTTTAACCCAAGAGGTATGATTGAACAAAAATGGTAAATTTATTTTAGACAATGCTAATAGCCAAATACCCAACATCTACGCATTGGGGTTTTGGGAGACGAATACATGTATGTTTTAAAAGGTATTTATATATGATTGCAAATAAAATCAAGTGGCCATTTGGGCGGGGGCGAATTTCAACATAAGTTGTATGATTTAAAAACACTTGGTACACCTTCATTAAAAGTTGTTGCATATCATACAGGTTGTAGACGACGGGCGAAAGAAAGAGAGGTATTGGTCCTAAAAGCTCACAATAACTACAATGTACTCAGGTGGACTAAAAATCAGAATTCCATGTTATCGTTTCCTATTATAATTGTAAGAAACAAAAAAAAAAACAAACATTTGCGCACTAACTTCTAATATGTTACAAAACACAACTTATCTATCAGATTTGTTTTCAACACGAACACAGTGACGTCAAATATTATTCACAAGAAAAATATAGTTCCCATTTAGTAAATGCAACTCACAAATATCATTTATAAGTAAATTAAAATCAGTCCTATCGGTTGTTAATTTAAGTACACCATTTATTTCAGCTAACATTTCAGTGTTCACTACCGTGACTTTCATTATCATTATTAATCTGATGATATTTCACACATGAAGTTATAAGAATAGTCACAAGGAAAGTCTGCCCATAACCAGCCAGATGACGGCAGAAGATACATGCAGTTCGGATATGTGTTTCCATTTGGCTGGTCATGTTTCCAATTAGTAAACTCGGGACTCATTAAGCCGTAACTGAACTCCCATTCCCGATCGTATGATCTTTGAATGCCGTCAATCCACACACGTTCACTAGGGTTTTGTTGCTTAAGAATCTCTGTGACATCATCAGACTTTGTTGCAGAATCAATATTTATCAAATGGCCACCATCTTGCTGACAAAGAAGCTCTGCATCATCTCTCGTGCGTTTTATGGAATTAAACAACTTGACGCAGTATTTAGATGGTGTCTCAGTATAATTGTCGGGGCATACAGACTGACACATCGCGCTCTCAGTCTCAGATTTAGAGTCAGAGGATATGGAGCAGAACGAAGCCCCTTTCTTACATTCTCTGGTACGATTTTTCAGTCCATAATCTAAATAACTCTTGGAGTCACACTTAGTCCATTCTGACCATTCTGTACACGTGTACATGTTGCATATTTCTCCGGCAAGAGTGTCAAACTTGTCGTTGATCAGTTGTTTTAGTCTACGCTCAGTTTTATTTATTGTACTTCTAAGACTGGTCTCTACCCTGTCCGTTTCACTAATTTGCCTTTCTATATTAGCGTCCTCAACAAGTTGTTCAACTCCATCAAACTTTCTTTCAAGACTGTCAAAAGACTCGGCAAAAAGTCGAATTAAAGGATTTTTTGTCCTTTTCCACAGTCGAAGAAAAGTTGCTGCAATTTTAGGTTCCGTATCTGGTTCTAATCCGACAGTGACGTTGTTTTCACCTTTAACTAGCGTGGGATATAAAAAACATTAAAGAATTACTAGAATGAATAATATTCGCGCCATCTTTGAACCTACTTTAGTTCTAAAACAGTAGATGAATTCTCTATATATACACACTTTGTCACTGCTGCATTTTACCTGAGATAATGTAAAAAAAATCGGCAATATTTCGCCATGAAATTATTCAAACAGAGTTTGTGAATTACACTTATTATAAAATGTTACGCGCGCACTTCTTCTAAAATCTAAAGAAAGAAAACACAACTGATACAACTTTTATCAAGCCATGATATTCTTTGTTTTCATATAAAAAGACCTTTCCTGTTTGGAACAATTTTCAGCTTTGGGATAATACTGAATAGCTTGCAGAAATAGGCCTACTTTTAGAAATAATATATCACAAACAGTGATTTTATCGCTCAATAAAATCAATATGTGGAGCTCGGATGCGAGGAAATATATCACGAAGACGTAGAGATAAAATCACTGATTTGAATATATTATTTCAAATCTAACACGACATTAACAAATAAATGCTGCCGTTCCTGATATTAAGCTAAATTGCTCCTGATTTGTTTCCGTTATTTTCAGCGCGTCGCAATATTAGTGGTAAGTCAAACGATTATGTCACGAGTCTAAATTTATATAGAATGTCAACAGTGATTTTTTTGCATAATGTCACGCACTTTTTTTTGTTCTTCTACGTTCAATAGGGAAAAATGCAGATCCCGTTTGCATTGTTAATAACTGTCATATAACTTTAACCCATGAATCCGTGTATAATTGTATTTATTCGTTTAACTCTTGTTTCGGCAATCTGTATCATCTATGATGTATTCAAACTTGTATGTATTTTTGCATTTATATGTATTTTATTTGTATTTTCCAAAAGACTGAATACACATGGAAAGCAGATACATATTTCTAGTCATTTTTCCCTCGCATGCTTGTCTAAATACATTATACATGAAGATATATCAACACCTTAAATTATTTTTCAATCTTTTATAAGATTTACATACATAAACAATTTTATATGGACTTGGTTTATTGTTGCAAATTTAATATTACAAAGAACAACTTTATTTCTTATTATATGATCATCTCAGATGACAATGCATACTTGGAAAGAACATTCTAAAATTTTATGAAATAGCACATTTCAAAACATTTTCTTCTTGAACATTAAAAGAATACGTTGTATCTGCATGTCTATTTTTGCTATAAAATTGTATAACTTTTAAAAAAATGTTTCAGTCACAAAAATGTTGTCAGCTTAATAATATTTGTCTCATACGTAAATTTCATACGTAAATCTTTTTTTTTTTTAATTTTTTTTTTTGGTATTTTATGTCAGAGTGTTTTGAATGAGCTTATATTATTGATCAGGAGTAATGTTTTTATTAATATGTTTTTAAGTGTATTTTATACTTTATAGTATTTTGAATTCACCAGAATTGATACATTGTATAACATCAGACCGTGCATTGTTATATATATAGTCTTTTAGAAACATTTGTAGAAATATTTAAGTTTAAAAATGATAGAATCACAGCATTCCCTATACATTTTTAACAAGGTGTGTATGGTAAATAATTATATATGGAAATATGATTTTTATTATATTTACCTTATGTAAGCTTTGCTTACACGTACATGAGATGAGACAAAACTAATCTATTTGAATTGAATTGAATTGAATTACGTTAATTTCAATTTGAACAAAAATAATGCAGAAGTTCAATTTAACATCTCCTTGATATAACAGAGAATTCGTTTTTGTTTCACCTTACACGAAGTACATTGTTATCTCTTGTAAGTAATGATTTCTGAAGTATATACGAATCTTTGTTGTGAACATTACTTTAGAAACGAATCCGGCTACAAAAAACAAAAAAAACAAAAAACACTCAATTCTCGGAAAATTCAGTAAACATTCTATCAAGCTACCGATAAGAAAACATGTCTGGTGGTTTATTTTGTTTATAGTTTGATAATTCAATTCTTAGAACCACTGTCTATTAATCATCACACTTTTTGTTGTACGTAGCTTCTTATTTTCGAATATATCTGTACTTAGGTGTTATTATTTTATTCATGTCAAAATAAATGATTCATTTTTCGATATATACTGCGATTTTCATAGTGAAGTCCAATACTAAATACCAAGGATATATAAATATATCTACAATTAAGCAGACATTTAGAAACACGCATTTAAAAAAATCATATTTATCTTTACAGATCCTTGTAACTATCATGGGAACTTTACACCTTGAGAGAATGCAACTTAACTGACAACTTTTAGTTTACCTATCGCAATTTTCAAACGTGTATCCCATTTTGTTATCACCTAGAACATGTCCGTACTTAACGGTAGAGTAAAACATCTATAAATTTTATCAATTACGAATAGAAGTAAGAGAAAAAAAGAGAAAAGAAAAATTTTGTTATTTTTTATCGCTAAAAATATTTTTTA